ATCACTCATTTGTATATATTATTATAATTTTTAAATATATATGTTAATATATTATTATTTTGTCGTTATTATTCTCAACGTATTATCTCAACCCATGAGTGTACTTCCCTTTTCCCCTTTAATTATTTTCCCCATTAAACCATGACAGGTATCCAAAGGAGCTACAAAAGGAAAAATCCACTGAAGATAGGGAGGACTCTTCCAGACAAAAATTAGACTACTGAAGTGCTCACTGTTTACATATATGACCATCTTTCATGCAGAAGCATCCTTAACATAAGACGACCCAAAAATTTGCAAAAGTAAAAGTTCCACAGAGCATGTGATCTAATGCAGTACTATCCATTCTGAAGTAACTTTTCTTAGATAATAACATTAGGTGTTAGCAGGTTGACTTTTTCCTTGCACCCTGACTTTCTGCTTTTTCCTCTATCCCCCTTTTCTTGTTTACTTGAAAATGCAACACATTTTTTAATTTTTGCCATGCAATTGTCACACTTGCCTTCTCTACCTTTGAACTACTTCCCCTGCCGTCAAATTAATTTCCTGAAGCATTAATTTTCTTTCTATTAACAGTCCAATACCACTCCCCGACCCTGAGATGCAGGAGTTACCAGTTATAAATCATGCTTTTCAAAACCATGAAGTGGAAGAAGTTACCAGTGCAATAGGTGGAAAATAAATGTTTGGGGTTATCACAGGACGGGTTTGCAATTATGTTAGGTTCCATGGCTAAGCAACAGCACTGGTCCTAGCACTTCTCCCTGGTTTATTTCCTCTCATATCCTATCTATTAGTCAATATATTCCACAGAATTGCTGACAGACTGCATGCAGGACAAGAGAAACAGTTGCATCATCTCCTTTATCTAGACATCTACACAAGTGATGAGGAATATTTTGATTTCAACACAAATTCCTGAAAAAAAAAAATTATTTAAAAAAAAAATTACTTAATTACTACATAGAAGAACATATCAAGATATAAGTTTATGTTTCTGAAAGAGAAGAATATTAACATGCATAAGCATTTTGTCTGAGATGAAAACTTACCCCTTGAGCATGGAGATATTCAACCGTTTTTGTTATTGTGAACAGAACAGCACTAGCTTCTCTTTCCGAGAAAAATTTTTGCCTAAGAATTTTATCCAGTAGTTCTCCTCCTTTCATAAGTTCTGTTACTACATATACATATTTTCCATCATCATACACCTGCAAAAAGTACATAAAGATGTTAACTTCGAAATACTTATTCTCTGCTACCTTCCTGTGAAACGCACAGAGATAGTGAAGGCACGTCCACAAGCTGTTTTCTTCAATTCTTTTTCCCATATTTCTCACTCCATGCACTATCCAAAAACATTGCTCATCTTCAGAAACACACACAAAACCTTCTGCAAAAAGGTAGTACAGTAATGAAATAACAAAAATGCTGGCATGCAAACATTTAAAGACAAAAAAGGGTGAATAACATGTTGTTTTCCCTCCATAGTTCTACTGCAACAAATTAAATTAGACATGGGAAAAATTAAGAAGTAGTAATAAATGGAAAGTAGTTAAAGGCAAAACCAGAGCTACTTCTAGAAGCAATTATTGCAGCAAATTACAAATATGAACAGAGAGCATTCCAACGGAACAGTCAGACAAGAAAAAAAAAATAAATCTAAGTTCACCTCAAAAAGCCTCTCTAAACACTGAAGTTAATGCATACAAAGCTGCTATGATAAAAACCTACAACTTACACATTACTCTGCATGTAAACCCTAACTCAGTCTAAAATTAATAAAATATGTATATTTTAGTTCTTACTTATAGTTATGGAAAACGGCTTAATTATTGCATGGCTTTTATTTTCCAGGAAACAACAGGTGAGGATTATTTATATTATCACCAGAGGGCACTGCAAACTGAACTATATGAAAAGGCATTTTACGGTATATTTAAGTGTTTCATTTCAGTTGCACTTTCTTGGGGTTTTAACTTAATCCTGAAAGTGGTTCCTGCTTTAGTGAAACCTTTACAGACTCTGTTCCCTATTATTATTTCAACCTATTTTTTATTGTGATGTTGGAATTGTTCTCTTCAGTAATACATGTGAAATAAGAACTAGTTTGTGATTAAGTATCAACACTTAAAGTAAAATAAATTTAGGAATAGATACCAGATAAATCAAAAAAAAAGTTTTCATCCCAATTTCCTTGTCTTAAGCTACCTGGGAAATACAGGCTACTAAAGTACTAACTAAGAAATTTTTGTGCTCTTAACTATACTAAAAGGATTTATTTTCCCATCAAATAAAAAAAAAAAAGGAGGAAGAGTGCTAAAGAAATAATTCTGCAGTATTTATAAGCTTATGACCTTAAGGAGAGGAAGCCGTGACAGGTTTCTCTATGTTTTCTTTTAACTGCAATTTTCCCCCCATGAAATATAAATGACTGATCATCTGAACGTGGTTGTATTAAGACTGTAAATATCACACTGTATTAAAAAACAGAATTATCTAATTCTAGATACTAAACTGGCATTTTAGATTTTTTTTTTTTCAATAGGCATGCTCCCCCTGACCCTGGTATGACATGAGGAAATAAGCTTATTTCATTTAACGTGACAAAGCACATGCATCTCAGTACTGCAGGGGGCATTCAAGCAAAATTTACATTTGGTTACTATTTTATTTGCTTCCTCTTGCTGATCCTGTCTTGCCTGCCAAAAAAAACAACAACTCACCTCAAACAAACCATTCCCCTCCCTCACCATGACTTCTAGAATTATATAATGGTTTGAGTTGGAAGGGACCTCAAAGATCATCTAGTTCCAACCCCCCTGCCATGGGCAGGGAAACCCTCCACTACACCAGGTTGCTCAAAGCCTCATCCAACCTGGCCTTGAACACTTCCAGGGATGGGGCATCCACAGCTTCTCTGGGCAACCTGTTCCACTGCCTCACCACCCTCAACGTAAAAAATTTCTTCCTTGAATCAAAATCTGCCCTCTTTCAGTTGAAAGCCATTATCAACGTAGTTGTTTGCACTGAACAAATACTGTTGAAGTTTTCTTCACAGTTAGGTGCACAGTAATACACTGAGATCATAAATGTGGTTTTTAAAACAAACTCCTGGCACATGCCAAAAATCAGTCAGTATGTCTTTTGTACCAGGCAAACTAGAGGAAACCGGAGTGAGAACCAGATGTAGGCACACGAACAAAATATAATGTAATGGAGAAAGAGAACACAGTTTTTGCAAAGTGAAATAAGATTTCACATATATATTAGGAGTTTTTTTAACTCATAAATAAGCACTTGGACAGAGAGACTGGATATAGTGTATTCAGGTTTCTAAAATGCTTCTGAAAAGATTCTTCAGTCAATGCTTTAAATAACTCAAACAGGACGAAAGTTCTGTTAGAGAACAGTAACTAATAGGTAAAAAAGGGTAAAATACATATAATGGTCTGGCACAGGAAGTTTCTAGGTAATGGTTTGTTGGAAGCTGTGTGCTTCCTCCATTCTTTCACTGTTTCCGAGGCATCTACTAATGGCCACTGCCAGAGGCAGGATATTGGATAAGAAGGACATCTGATTTAGCACAATATAGCTCCTTCTTTTGTTTATATACTGTGTAACTGAAAAAGACCACTGATAACAATCAGAAAGAAAAACCTCAGAGGACTGGGCATTGCAGAAAGAATTTGGTATTTTGAATATCCATTGTTTCAATCCAAACACCTTCAGAATTAAATTACATAAAAAGGCCATGAAAGAATAAAAATTTCCATCCTAAGCTAAATGCAATTACTGCATTTGTTCTTGAAATACAAGAAAACAAAGAAATTATTTCTTGCAGAATAAAAATTCCAAAGACATGCATTTAATGCTGAACGGTTTTATCCTGACATTTAAAAATAGAAACTTTTTTTTTTTGGAAATTGAATGAAAAATGTTGTCAAATCAACATTAAGTTTGATTTGTATAATAATACATGGTGCCCTTGATTAGTTTGAGGCCTGAAGGCCAAGTACTCCTTATTCTTTCTGGTGAAAGCTGTAATAACACACCACTATATTGTGGGATATGCAAGCAATCCACCCCACGCATCTGTATTAGGACAATGAAAACTTAAAACAATGTTAAATTTTTACAGTAATGGAAATTATACAAGTTTCTAATAAATATGAATCTTATACCTCTTTCCTTACATTGGACATACTTCCATTAATTGGGCTTGAAGAATTGATGTGAAGTAGAAATGAGAATTATAGCCTACTAGCTTCTCTTCCTCTGTGGACTTAAGACTTTTTTTGTAGTCTTCTTTTGTTATGTGTATATTACTGTTGGTGTGAATGAAAAGATGGCTTCTACTGAAAGATGACTGATTATGATGATGAATTAATTACGAAGTAGAATGGTACAGCATATGTGGCAACTTTTCACGGCTGCCTGTGTTTCTCTGCTCTCAGTGAAAAACATCCATAATGCTTAAGTTCAGGTAAGCACTCACATTCCGTATGTTTGTTTTCCTGCTTCAATTACATAACCTCTATTATGAATTAAAGTAACACATAAGCATGCGCAGCACTAAAAGTAACCTGAATGTTGATGTAGATTCTGTGTTAGCACAGTTGCTTTCAGGTAGCTTTGTTGTCCAACCAGATGAAGCAGAACAAACAGAAGTGGGCTTGTATTTATGCTATCTAGCTTGCAGTAAGGTAAGCGCCATAGTGGGCTCCCTTGTATATCTGACTTATTTTGTTCTCCCAAGAAAGGGCCAAATTACACCATATTCATGAAGTGAAGACAGATTATAGAAGGTGATCACCTTTGGGCAGAGTTCTCTAGTAGTCACCTCCATAGTATTTATAAGCTACTGTTTTAATGACTTCAAAATGACTGAGAATCTCCCTCCAGCTGACCTCAGCTTCCTGTAAATGGTTAGCTGTTTTGCTTGAGGTTTGGTTTTGGGCACCAGAATACTTTCCTGCAGACTAAGAAAGTCATTAAGCATCTGCCTTTTTAATTTTTAATCCTCTTTAATGCATAATCAAGGAGAGAAAGCAAATTTTCTTTTCCTGTTAGATCATCAGTGTCTACTGTTCACTACGAAAACCTCTACCTCCCAACCTATGCTATGCTTTGCTTTTTACGGTCAAAGTGTTTCCATGGTCAGAGCAAATAATAGAAGAAAAAGATAGCTAGATAATCTTCCAGATAAAGACACTAGGTAAAGAAAAGTGATGACTGTGGATATGAAAAGATTTTGTCCACTACTCAGTAACTCCTTACTCTCCATGAAAATCACTTTGGGTATTGTGTTATCTCAAACAGTGAGTCCTCAGTAATGTAATAATGCACTTGAAAATTGCTTTTGACTAATGAAAGCAAAGGTAAATTTGAAGTTAACCAAGCAACCAAAAAACTTGCTTGTTCCTTTGAAAATACAGCCAACATTAAATGAATTATTCCTGTTCTAGATTTATGAAGGATCATAGAATCACAGAATGGCATAGGCTGGAAGGGACTTCAGAGATCATCTAATCCAACCTCCCTGTCATGGGCAGGGATGCCTCTCAACTAGACCAGGCTACTCAAGGCTCCGTCCAACCTGGCCTTGAACACCTCCAAAGAGGGGGCATCCACAACCTCTCTGGACAATTTATTCCAAAGTCTTACCACCCTCGTACTGAAGAATTTCTCCCTAAGATCTAATATAAATCTGTTCTCCTTCAACTTAAACCCATTTCCCCTTGTCCTATCAGTGGACACTCTTGCAAAAAGTCCCTCCCCAGCCTTCCTGTAGGTTCCCTTCAGGTATTGGAAGGCAGCTATTAGGTCCCCCAGAAGTCTTCTCTTTTCAAGGCTGAACAATCCCAGCTCCCGCAACCTGTCCTCGTAGCAGAGGTGCTCCAGCCCCTGGATCATCTTTGTGGCCCTCCTCTGAACACGCTCCAACAAATCTATGTCTCTCTTATGGTGGGGACACCAGAACTGGACACAGTATTCAAGGTGGGGTCTCACAAGAGCAGAGTAGAGGGGGAGAATCACCTCTCTTGACCTGCTGACCACGTTTCTCTTGAGTTATTTGACTGCTTAGCAGGATTACGTTGTACCAAATATGAGCATCTTTAAAAGATGACAATGAGACATCTCAGTAAAAAAGTGGATATTGTTGAATAAATTGCATTAGGACATTGTTTTATTTTTAAATACTCAAAAACAGTAACATAAATCTAAACCACGTTGTTTATCACCTCTCAAATTAGAAAGTGATATGCAATTATAACACTTTAAAGGATGTCTTTAACACACTACTTACATCTTTCAGGGTAATAATATTTGGATGCTGTCCATAGCGCAGTAAGATTTCAATCTCCTCTGTTGGATCTCTTTTACTCTTGTCAATGATCTATAAGAGTAAACAGACACATAGGCATAATTCTTTTTGTGAATATTATATAGCATAACAGTTTGGTGTGCTTACTAGCATGAACAGATAAGCAGTATTTATTCTTGTTGATAAAGGACATGGATTATAACCAAATCAAAGTCTGTTAAATTGGAACAGCAAGTCAAAGTAAAAAAGTTCGAAAAACACGGAAAAGTCTCCCAGTTGAAAACAATTCTGGAGGATAAGCAATCTGATCCCTCAAGCTGTGATAAATAATGCAAGGCTGTTTAGTAGATAAGACTTCAGTTAATAAAATAGGAAGTTCCTCTCTGACATGATATACTGGTTTGACCATGCTAATGAACTCATTTTCACAAAGCTAATCTCAAACAAATATTTAGTGCAGCAAAGACAAAGCAGGAGAATAAGGGAATCAAAAATAAGAAAAAGGAAAAATTTCTCTGAGTTAATTCAGGCAAGCATTCCATTATGAAAGTTCATTTGAATCTCTGGAGGCTTGCTAGTAGGCTCTGAAGTTCTCCCTATGCAAACAAGCAAAACATTATTTTTCCCTACTTAAAATGTATTCTATTCTTTTTTTTTTTCCTCTTCTTTTGAACTGCAGAATTTCCTCTAATGTCTTCTCCATCTCTGACTGACTCCTCCTTTCTCTTGGCATCCTAAAACCCTTACCTGCTACCAGCACCATCCTAACACATTGGACACTGATCACCTTATTCTTTTTTCATGATTCCTTGAGGTAAAAAAAAGCCACAACAGAGGCAGCAGAAAAGTGAGGCAATCCTCGCAATAAGTGTTACAGCTTAGAATATTAACAGCAATGCCAGTACTTTCTTCCAGTTTCAAGAAATTACTTCAAATTGTAAGCACAGAAGTCAAATCTGTTCCTGTCCAGAACCAGAATAATGACAAGTACGTAACTACCAAATTGAAAATGGTTTCCAGTAGACAATCTGTGTACAAGGATACAACAAAACACAATGTATCTTTGCATTTTACACATTTGAGAAGTAAACTGTTCAACAATTCAAACAGAAAATAGCTTCACAATACAGGATTTAAATCTTCACACCCCCTCATCCTGTTAAAGCCTGCTAATCTATACTCCTGCTTTCACAGTAACCATTCAGCTCCCTAGCGTTATACAGTAAGACAAAAAGATAAACTTATCATTTCACTTTTGGGAATTCTACTAAGAATTTAATGCCTTCAAAGAAGTGCTAGAACACCCAATAGAATAACATAAAAGCAACATTATAAACCTTGTTAAAAACCAGCAAGCAAAGACAAAAGAGTTGAAGTTTATTCTGGAAGGTATACCAGACTTAAGCACTGTTACGAACTCCTAGCTATCTGACTATTTATGAATCTACTTTGAAGCAAAGCCCCTGTATATAAGTATGTTTAAATGAAAGTAATCACTTGCATTTTTTAAAAAAGTGATGGAAAGTAATGTAAGCTTTTCATAGTACATTTCCTTCTAGAAGCAGTCATTTAACTCCCATCAGTTTTACTGTAATTACATAGGTGTTTCAAAGACTGAAGATTGTTTTTCACCACCCAAACCAGCATATAGATAACAAAACCCATAGCAATTCTATATAAATATCTGCCAGTAAATATTCTATTAGTTGATTAGTATAATTCATGTTTGCATCTAAAATCTTTTTGCACTAAAAAAAGTCTTAATTTGCTGCGTTCTTTATGACAAATAAATTAACGATGACCACTGTCTATGATGCTAAAACCTGAAAAACAGTTGGTGTGTTTTATAAGTAATTACCTTTACAGCATATTCCATGTTTGAAACTTTATGAATACATCTCTTGCAGATAGAGTAAGACCCAACTCCGATATCTTCCTTTACTTCATATCCATCAGTAAACTGAATGCTGTTCCTGTGCAACTGCTACCAAAATAACATGATCAATTAATGAATATTCTAAATATATAGCTGACATTTATATTTTTTTTTAATTCCTACTGATTTGCTTCAGATTTTAAACTGATGGCTCTACTAGGTCAAGGTGGTCTAAAAAGCCACTACCTTCTGTTTGATATTAGTATGAGATAAATTATGTATGAGACACACTGTAAATAATGCACACTGTCTTTTAGAAACTCACAACATGATGTTTCTGGTTACTGATTTATTAATTTAAAGATAGAATCTCCAAAACAAAGAACATGAGAAGACAAACTGGTAAAAACCCTGGTAAAAAACTAAAGCATCACTGTTTCTGTTATCCGAATAGACGAATGCCAGCTGGAAAATGCAGACATGCTGAAGAGAATCAGATTAACTGGAAATTGCATGGAATGGCAGTCAGAAATCCTTTCACAGAAATAACGAGCTGAAAGACAGAAAAATGTTCACTCTTGTAAGGAAAGGAAATGGTGTTCTAGTATAAGGGGTTTGTGCAAAGGATGCAAAGCATTTCCAGGAAACCATCTGGGTATCCTGCAGCACAGAAAAGAGGAAATAGGAGTGAGGAAGTGGTTGAGGGGCACAGAGGAAAGGCAGCAGAGAAACAGACTTTTACAAGAGAAGGAAACCATATACAAAGAGAAAGAACCTCATCCACAAAACTATGTGGGGAAGAAGGCGCACAGAAAAGCTTGCAGAAACTTTTAGTAAGACTTCAGGATCAGAAGTCATTCTGACCCATATACTATATCAGACAGCTTCTTTAGAACAAAAAGGGATCTAAATCTCCTTGAAATTTAATGGTTTATTATACATGAAACAGGTAATGTGTACAAACAAGCATGTTACGACTATTCGAGAAATAATAAGAGGATTAAAGAAATAAAAAAGCTATTTATGTTCTGAATAGACTGGTTTTTAATTTTTTTCTTCAGATATTTGAAAAGTGTCCTTGCAGTGAATACATAAATAACCACATCATACAGCGTACCTTTCTATTCCTACCTATACACTAGAAAGAAGTTTTCAACACAATTTAGATCACCAGTTGGTTTTCATGACTCAGTCTTCCTCAGTAATTAGAATTATTAGAAGCAAAAAGAGGAGGTAGAAATACAATTTGTGCACAGGTCTTCTAGTTTTCTTTCCTGTACATGCATCTGCTTTTTTTCCCCCTGCTGGTTGCAAACTCTTCCATGCTGAAGCATGCTTTTAGAATGACCTCAGTCTCATACGGAGGCAAGGCATGCCTCTCCCCCATTCAAGCACGAGGTCCACCTTTCTTGTCTCACACAAAAATTGTACCTAAGCAAAGCTTTGTTGTCCAAAAATAAGCAGTCATGGCAGTAATAGAGGACATAAGAACAACAACTGCATTAGGCTATTAAAAGTAACACTCTCACGATTATTAATAAGGGAGACTAGTGGAGTCATCCTAACACTGCTAGGAAGCCAAAGCTTGTGTGCTTGCTGTAACATTGACTTATACGACACACTGAAATTGGTCAGAAAATATCACAGATCAGCATATTAACTTAAAGCAGCTCGGGAGGGATGGAATATGTCCTGGGTCATGGGTTCCAAAATACACAGCAGTCCAAAACATCCAGATACAAATCACAGTTGTACTCCAGTGCCTCCAACTGCACTGTAGGAATCAACTGATCTTTTCATGCACAGAGGAAAAAGACCAAGATGTCTGTTATTCCCCTTCACCTTATAATCATGGCTTGATATGAGAGAGTTTTACAGTACAGATGGTAAAATGTTTTCATTTAAGGGTTGATGCTTATTCACACCTGTGGCTGCTCAGTAATTAAAAAGGTTCTGCACCTTCAGAGGTTTTGTCTGGGTAAAATAATCTGTCTTTACTTTTCTTGGATGAAGGTGATAATGACTTTGTCATGGTACTTCATTTTGAGAAGGAGGAAACAATCCCTCCATCAAGAGACAGCAATACTGCTTTATTGACTTGTTTTTTTTTAAAGTAGATATACTCACCTGGACAATTGAATGCACTCCAACTGTCTGCATTGCTTGGCTCTCATCATCTGATGCAATAGCTACAAAACTAAATCCTCGAAAAAGCTGATGTGCATTAGCACTAGGTGGGATACCAGGTGAATCTGAAAAACACATGATCTACTTAGAAGAAGAGTTTTTAAAATGTAGAGATGAGATTATGCCTACTTTGAAGAGTAAACGACAGCTTTACTCTATAAAGTCCACAGAAATTGGAACTTGCAGAAATTGTTTCTGAGGACCAAAATACAAATAATTACTGAATAGTTTTGCATATACCATCTAGAAACACAACTGATAACAACAAAGATCATATTACTCTCAGACAATATTTTATTATACAAAAACCAGCACTTTGCAGAAAATATTTACATATAGGAGCATATCCATGTTATATTTATGGAGGAGAAGCACTCAAATTTGCTAACACCCCAAATATGTAAAGACAAAAACTTCTATCACGTTTTGAATAGATCAGTGTAAAACTATGGAGAGACAGATTGCTCTGAAACAGCAACTTTGCCACTCAAGTCTGACATGACTAAGTTTCTACATATACATAGGATGTAGTCACTATCATGAATTAAATGAAGCCATAGAATACAGCCTTTAAAGAGACACAGACACGGATAATCTTTTATGAACTATGGAATACTTGTCTGTGAGCATTCAGCCCAGCTCACCTGTGAGCATTCAACCCAACAAGACACTTTACATAAGCTGAACAGGAATGATGCTTCTAATTTTTGAATATGTAAATTGTTTAATTCTTCTCTTTTTACCTTTTGGAGTTTTTGCTGTAAACTCAGGGTCAAAATAAAACGTATCTTCAGGTCTGCCAGTTGCAGGTTTAAAAGGGGGATGAATTTCTCTCCTGTACAATTTCTGAAGAGAAGGCATAGGCCAGAGTGAATTAAAAAGTTGGATGGCACCACCAAACATTTAACTAAGAAATTTACTGAATTGATTTTTTTAATTAGATACTCACATTCCAATCTATTTTAGAAAAAAATGCATGCCTCTTAATTTCTTCAACTCCATCTGGACCTGCTCCTTTTATAAGGAGGAAAAACATCTGTGAATTATTTTCTTCTTGGTCAAAAGAATGACTAGCAAAATAATATTTCTTATTTCTTCTGCATTAATTTTAGATGTACAAATAACAGAAATAATAATATTTTGTTGATCATTAGAAGAGCAAACAGGCAAACTATGTTCTTACTTCAAAGCCTATTTTACACAAGAAACTGTAAACTTATTTTGTCAGTTTAATGATCATTGATGTTATCAACATTATTATCATCAAATTTAAAATATTTTGCTAAACGCTTTACCTAATCTGTTTGCTGGGTTTCTTTTGAAGAGCATTCGCAGAAGACTCTGTGCTTCAGGACTCAAGAATTGAGGCATTCCAAGCTTGGCCCTATAGAACAAAAATAATTAATAGCATACAAACATATTTACTTACGAATTAACTCTGCATTCCCTCTGTCCTTTGTCATTCAACAAATCCACATCAAACAAAATAGCATCACTGAGAAATTGCCTTCAGAAATCAGAAACAGACCAAAAGTGCTGTCAGTCATGTAAACCTGTAATTTCCTTTTTTCTGTTTCAAGTAGTATAATATTTTTAGTAATGACTCAGGAACTTTAGTAGAGGAAGAAGTGGTGAAAAATGTAGAAAAGATAGGTATAGGATAATAGTTTACAAACTTGTAAAATTTTTGTAATATGTTTTGATCCACTTTTAAGTTCAGTTATTACCAAATGACATCAAACAAGCAAATCCATTTTGATAGTAAGATAAACATTTTAAAAGTGGTAAGAAAACTACCACAATATAATGCACACCAAGAACACTCAAGCAAAACAACAGGAAATCTAAGCTAGAAGATAGAAATTGAATTAAGGTAGGACAGGTCTGGCAAGATTAGCAGGTTTAAAAAAAAAAAAGAGAAAAATATCACTCCCTCCTTTCTTTCTTTTTGCTTCTCTCCAATCCATTTCAAATATTACTTTCCAACTTGCCAGTCTTGAATTTAAGTTTTTGTAGTTCTGTCATTTAATTTTGTTTCGTAATTCTCATCATATTTTTCTCCTCCCCATTTAAGGTTGAGCCTCTATCCTGTCACTGTTACTAGGTCCCACTTTTTCTTATGACCATGATTAATGGAAAGGATGGACAATTCCCTCCCTTCCATGTCTCATTCAACCTGTAGCTTGTTTTTTTTTTTTTCCATAACAATCCATGACACAAGCTTTCTCTGTGCTTCAAGCAGAAGACACAACTTGCCTTGTGTTCCAGCTATTCATAGATGGCCACCTCTGTGTCACTTCAGCAAGTGCATACATGTTGTCATTACTCTAATAATTGAATCTACTAAATTTTCCATTCCTTTCTGCATTAAAAACAACAGGGCCAAGTGCGAGGAAGTTTGAAAAACTTGGCCTTCTTTAGGCTCTTCAGTAACATCCTACAGGCAGATCAAGACCACCAATTGAGCGGAGGAATGGGCAGTGGGCCATCCAATGCTTCCCTGATTGCCGTGCACCACTAGCAGCTGAATTCTTACTCGTGCACTTTATACGTAGAGATTTCACTGCATGTTCACTTGATGTCATTTCTGCTCACAGCAAAGTATAAGAGAGCCACACTGTAAGAAGGAAGCAAGGAACACATTGTCTGCAGAAGCGCAATGGTATCATTTACAATGTTACTGAAGAACAGAGAACAGCCAAATAAATACGATAGGACTGTGCTGGAGTGGGTGGAAATCTTTGTCCTACTACAATCCAAAACAGCTCCAACAGTAGGATGCAGCCCTGGAGGTTCAGCATGAGAGGTCAACTGCTTAGAAAATTCTAAAACCAGGCCAACAACATAACTGCAATTAATCTTACAGAGAATTGACTCAATGAACTGAAACAGAATATGTAGAAGAAATTCTAGAGGACCAGTCCACAGTGGAGTGAATTGAAGGTCCTTTTGCAAACCACAGAGATTAAGACTGTCATTGCACTCTTTCCATCATGAAGGAGCACTTTTCACAAAATCCTTTACTGGCCACATGACACAGCAGAAAAGGCAATCGCCAGGTCCTCAGAGGTCCTAGGTTATTCAACTACATGAGTGACAGCAATTTTTTTCTGACATTCCTGATGGATGAAGACAAAATTTTATATGAAGGCATACTTCTTCAGTAAAGGAGAAAAGATGCTTTAAAAAGTTAACTTTATTGCTGCAAACTATGATTTCTTCAAATTGCAGAGTTTCTAAGTTTTAAGTAAAACACACAAGAATAAACAAAATCTGGTCTTTGCAATATTGTGAGAAATAAAGAGCCCAGGAAAAGATGTGTTGTAGGAAGAATACATTTTCTGTGGATTTTCAGGAACAGAAGGTAAGAAAAACAATATATCTTAAATGATACACTATGAAAATACGAATTCATATGCATACCTATTCATAAAATAGTTTTACAAAAAATTTAAGGAAAGATATAGTACATTTACTAGTAAACAGAAAATAAAAAGAAAACGTACTGCCATTCTTATGGGGCCAGACAAAAAATGCGAACTTATCAGAAAAGACTTTAAAATATCCTCTGTTTTTCAGCTGTTCATACTACCAACAGCAAAATAAATTCATACGTATGTAATAATCATAAGCGTACAGAACATTTAAAACAGAGGTAAAATTTCTTTATTTCATACCACATTTTTTGTGCAGCGCTCTCAGACTAATAACAAAGACTAGAAGGTGAGAAAAGAAAAAAATTGGAAAGGGAATTAGAGATACATGCTCAGATGAAATCCAAAGGTAGTTATGAATGTCAATTAATTGGGGAGATGCAAGGAGGATATTCTACATGGCAGCTGAATACAGAAGATTTTTGTAGCAACAGTGCAACGACTGTTGAGGAACAGAGTGAAGTCACATGTAGAGACAGAAGAGAAGAGGAAGATATGACTTGCAAGACATGGATGGGAAAAAAAAAGCATGGCTCCTGAAATAAGTGAGAGTGCAGCAGAACTATCTCAAACTAGCTTCTTGTAAATAGGATGTGGTCAGAAAGAGTTTACACTTGCTGTGAATAGATAGAACCTTTTAGTTAAAGACATTCAATAATCACAACATGAAGATTTGAACTGGCATGGTGTTGAGGCAGCAGAAGAGATTAGCACCACTAAATACATTTGCAAATGTAAGATGAGGAAGAAAAACAAGGGCAAAGAATAACATAACATGTATGCATTATGAAAGCAAAGGCAATGAAAAGAATGAGTTTTTGTTTTCTAGTGGTTTTCACATTCTAATTACTTCAGAAAAAATATGAAAGAATGTCATATTTTCAAAACAGGCTGTTGGTGCAAAAGAAATGCTGGCTTCGATATATAAGTAGGTAAGTGGGAACGGAACCAAGAACAATGATAAACAACAAAGCAGAAAACGAATGAGAAAATTAAAATAGTCTTATGAGCTTCCATGGGAAAAAAAAACGATATTACCGACAAATGGCTGGAAACAGAGAAGTGAAACTATGATATGAAGAAACAGAACTGTTTGCACAGCATTAGGCTACAGTCCCAAAAGTGGGACAGTTATGTCACAGCTTGTATCAGTTCAGAGAATATGTAGGGGATCAGCAAGGAAAAAAAAAGCAGGCCTTCATCAGCAAACCTGAGAATGTTAACTGCATGAAGGAAAGCAATTTCCACAATACAGCTAATGCAAAATCTATATGGGAAATAGCAAAGGGGAAAATTTGAGCTTGGGCATGTCATAGGAGATTACATAAGGGAGGATGCACTTTAACAAATAGGGGAAGTGTCAGGGAAGCAAGTTGTTGGCAGAACCAGGAATATAAAGAAGTGGGGTGAGGAGCTGGTAAGATAGAGAAGGGTAAGGAGAGAAAATACTTTCTCAAAAAAAAAAAAAAAAACCAACTAAAAGAACAAGAAAAAATGCACAGATTATCAAAAAGATAAGAAAGTTAAAAATATTATGGAAATAAGATGGGAAGGATCATATGATTGGAGAAGTTATTATTACAGATTAAAGAACTGCTATGAAATTCTTTGTACCTGGTATGGGGGAAGGAATAGAAAGGTAAATTAGATAGGAGGCAAAGGGAATTAATAGTATGGAATAGGGAGTGAGGATTTACCAGTACCTTTGGAAATGAGGGAAGAGTAGAAATTAGATATTGCAGCCCGGAGGGCATCCCTGTAGAATACCTGATGAGATATATAAATAAGAGTGTACTCACTTGAGAATCATAGTCATGGTTTCTTTTCTGTCTTTCCCTTGGAAAGGTAGAGTACCAGTGAGCATTTCAAACTGTATAGAGTAAAACTTTCATCAATTACATTACCTGGACAAAAATCTAATTTTTGACAAAACTACTTAGCATCTTAACCTTCCAAAATTCATGCATGTTAACAACCAAGTCTGTGCAAAACAATTTCTCATTGTACAATTTAAACTACTATGAACATCAAGCAGCCTTTGCTATTTTTAAAGCTGCGAAATATTTTCCTATATTGATACCTTGCTTTACATGCTTTTATCTGAACAATTTAGACTATTATATTCTGTGTTGCATTTCTGCCTAAAAAGTTTATTCTTGGAAGACTTCATCTATACAACTGTATTTTAGTTTTCAAGAGGGTGGGAGGTAGGGAAAAAGACTCCCCTTTCAAAAGTTAGTGATGATTTCTCCTCATGCAGAGATAATTTAAAAGGTCAAAATTTTCAAGATTGGCATGTACATAGCCTTCATTAGAAAGAGGAAAAAAGTCAGTTGATTGACAAACACATGCACAATGAAAGGTGGTTACTGTATGCATACAGTGGAAATAAAGCCTGAAGGAACACATAAGAGCTACACAGTATGTGCATGCACGTTCTACAGTGCCTGGTAGTAGGCAACAGACACTGTTAAAATACTGATTTGTTCTGAAAGTGACTGAGTAAAAATAGATAAATATAAAGGCACTTCCATTGGGCTGCAGTACACTGCAGGGATATCAGATCTAAGTCAGGTGCTGAAAGCAGTCTGGCAGCAGTCACAGTTGCCAACGCTCTGAGGCAGAAATTCTGATTTTGGGTTTAAGAATTGCAAAACAATTTAGTTTAATGAAATATAATAGCATACACTTAAAGCTATCAAAATTAAAATAATTATAAAGGAACCCTCTGAACAGTTTATACAAACTTAAGTCATCCTTGACACAAGGTATCCTTTATTCCTCTCTTTTCTGGTAAGACTCAAACATTCAGCTTTCTAAGCATTAAAACCGTACACTGATAACTGGAGTGAATAATGTGTATGGAAGTATATTTAGATCTGCAATAAGTGAGTGAAACTGCACTAACAGCATTCTTTAAAACCCCTTTTTATTAAAATAAGAATTTAAATTTCTTACTACCCTATAAAGTATTCAGAGAATAAAAGCTGCCAGAATCTTCACTACTGCTAGATACTTTTTACTCTAAATATTATCTTTACATATATACTTATATTTAAAATTTTACATTTAATACAATGCCAACATGAAAAAACAATACTTTAACACTTAAGACAATTGTCAGGAAGATGAGAGAGGCATAAGCCACAACCATAAAAAGAAAAAAAAAAAATCACCTTTTGTTTTGTTTATAGTTTAGATTGAGCTTCACAAACTGCACTTGCAAAAAAAAAAATTTAAAAGGTAAATTTGTAGTGCTGCACGTTTTGCTTACACTTGCTTGAAATAAAAAGTTTCTTTAGCAAGCTCCTATTTGTTGCAAGCATTCACACTTGTATTAACAACTCAGCATACGTGTTCTTTGCCTCCTCCCAAAATACTCTATTCCAACATCAACAGGCCAATAGTACTTTAAGAATAAGCCAACGTTGGTCTTCCCTAGTTGTTACCTTCAATT